AACGGTAAACTAAATCTATTCAAATTCTATTATACTTTCTGTAGTTCGTCCAGAAATATATATCTTTTATTTATTTATTTATTATTTCAATTTTTAAAATTATTATTTTTAAATGACTGGGCGCTGGACAAATTTTAAGTTTTATCTGAAGAAAAGTATATGGACATTGCCAGTTGCTGCTGCATTTTTAGATTCCGTTGCATATGTGGCTACAGTTGAAGGCTATTCAATGCAACCTACTTTAAATCCTTTTTCCTCAAATGGAAAAAGTGATTATGTTCTTTTATATAAGTGGGGAGTAAGAAATAGAAGTAATATAGCTAGAGGAGATGTTGTTGCTCTTATTTCTCCAAAACATCCAGATCAAAAACTTATAAAAAGAGTTATTGCTCTAGAAGGTGATACTGTTGAAACATTATCATACAAACAAAAATGGCTGCCAATTCCAGCTGGCCATTGCTGGGTGGAAGGTGATTATCATGGACATAGTCTTGATAGTAATTCTTTTGGGCCAATATCCCTTGGACTAATAACAGCAAAAGCCTCTTATATCGTATGGCCTCCTTCAAGATGGCAACACATAAAATCTTTTGTAAAACCTTCTAGAAAGCCATTAGAAACACTTAGCTCATCAAAAGAAGATAATCAAAATTATAATATCTTACTAGAAATGAATTAAATTTATTTTTATAAAATAACCCTTAAAAAAGATAATATTGAAAGAAAATGTAAAGAAAGTAATAAAATTGTTTTTTAAATGGCCTAGAAATTTTGCTTAAAATTATATACATATTATTATTATATAAATTGAACATTTTAATCTTAAAAATTGTCCAATCAAAAAGTTGTTTTAAATTATCTTTTGGTATTTTATTTATGCATGAGAATAAAATAATTCCATTATATCTAACAACTTAACTTACTTTTCTTTACCTTTTCTTTTTTTTTTTGAAATCTATCTTTATTCTAATTACTACATAAGCATAAGTATTATCTTCATGAAAAAAAGTATTAAAATTACAATTATATTCTCACAATGAGTATCTTTTTTATTTAAGAAAATGCTAGCTTTCAAGTGTTAATCGCTCTTCAACGGGCTTACTATATATATATGTTATATAAAAATATTATTTTATGTTAAATTATAATTTCATAGATTCAAATACTCTGCTACATCGACCGCCAGAGGTCACTCTCCCCAGACGCTCTCCCGCCATGGATTCCTGCAAGAAGAAGAAGAAGAAAGCCAACAAGCCCTCTCAACCCTCGGTTGACATCGCGGCTCTTGTTGAAGAAGACAACATGGTCATCTCCCGCCACTATCAAATCCTGCAATCCCTCGGCCAGCCCCCCCTAGCAGCTCTTCACCTGGACCGTGTTCGCTTCATTTAGCAGCGAACAGAAATAATCAAGTGCCTAGTTAGGGATGTGAAGAACCTCGCGGGCACCGTGAATGACTTCATGGAGCTGGATGAAATCATGGATGCCCAAATGCCCAAGAAAACCTGCCAAACCACTCAAACTAGCCCTGCTCCCACCTGCAAGGTCTCTAGCGCTCAGACCGAGCTCATCAAGCCTGCCACCCCCGCTCCAGCTGCTGTCCCTGTGGCAGCACCTGCTCCCAAGAAGCCATTCCTGCTCTAACCAAGAGGAATCAGCCAGAGGCGTCAAACCCGCTCGCTAAGAGGACCAAATCACTGGTTCCAGCCAAGCCTGAATCTTCCCGCGCCCCCAAGCCTGCCGTTGCCAAAGGCACTCTCAATGGGGAGAAATCTGCGGCCCACATCGTGGTTATTGCAGATAACCCGCAGGCTGACCCACGGGACATCCTCAAAGCTGTCCGTGCTGCCCACACTCTGCCCCAAGGCGTCTGGGCGTCTCTGCGCACCAGGGGAAAACTGGTGCTGCACTCCAGCACTCCAGAGATCATTCCTGCCGTCAGCTCTGCCCTGGACAACAAGCTCCAAAGCCTGAAAGTCCGGGAACTGATGCAATTCCCCTCAAGAATCTGCCTCTTCAACGTGGAGGCGGAAACCGCGGATGAGGACATTGTCCAGGCGTTCCTGTCCACCGATGCCCTCAGCCAGCTTTCTGGAGACAAGTCTGTCCGAGTGGCACAAATATCTCCGACCAGAAATGGCACCTGCACGGCCTTCATTGAGCCAGACTTGGCTTCCTACAAGGCCATTGGAAGACGCGGCAGGATCATTGTGGACCAAGTGATCCTGAACTACGAGGAGTCTGTCCGCGTCTGCTACCGCTGCTGTGGCTACAGCCACAATGCCGATAGGTGCACCAAGGCTACGGTCACCTGCTTCCACTGCGCTTCTGGTGACCACCAAGGCCGAAGCTCGCCGACCCGCGCACGGCCAAGTGTGCCAACTGCTCAGCCAAGGGCCTCTCTGCCGACCACGAGGCAAGATCAATGTCTTGCCCAACTGCCAGAGCTAGAGCTGCAAAGTTCTAGTCCTCCCACCTTCTTCCTGCCTCCTGACCTCCGCGGACCCAATCCGGCCTAACCTGCCTCTTCACTAACGGAGATCCTGTCCCTAGCCTCTCCAGCCTGGTCATAGTGGTTTTATATATTCCGCTTTACGCGGCCGTTGGGGCTAAAAAATCATTTATTTTGGTTAGCAGCCCCGTAAATAAAGATTATTTCTCTATCCCAATGGCCGGCTCAAAACTTTTGTACATTATGTAAATAATCTTTTGTTTTACTTATTCTACTCGCCTTAAGCCAGGCATTACTTTTATCAAATTATGTTTTTTTTTAATATATATACCATAAGTTCAATTAAAGCAATATCTGATCAAGACTATTATTTTTGTTATTATACTTTCAAGATTTTAACCACGACTGCATTACCATAATCCTCAACATGATCAAAAATCAAGCAGAAAATCTCTATTCATTTTTATATAACATACATATACCCAAGTCGATATTATAGTAAACCCGTTGAAGAGCGATTAATGCTTGAAAGCTGGCGTTTTTTAAATAAAAAAGATACTCATTTTGAGAATATATTTTTAATAAGTATTATATTTATTGCCACGTAGAAAATTAAAAAAGACAAACTTCAGAATGACACTCAAATTTAAGGCTAAAAACATAATCAACATTTATAAGATAAGTAATGAGGGAAGTTTACAGTGTATAGTTAAAATATAAATATAAAAAAAAAAATTAATGATATATACAGTTAAACCTGTCTATAACGCCCCCTCTAAATAGCGCCTACCTCTCTATAGCGCCTGATTTTAAATACGTAGTACAATGTGATTTACATTAAAAGTGACCTGTCTATAGCATCCCCTCTCTATAACACCCTATTTTGGTGAGTCCCAAGAGGGGGCGCTATAGACAGGTTTAACTGTAGTGTTTCCTGTATTAATTTTTACAGCTGCAGTTGGTTTCTGGACAGTGTGAAATAATTCCCTTTTGTTCTGAAAATAGAGCAATCCATACATAAAGCATTATAGATAATAAAAAGGCATATATTGGAGATTGAATAAAATATTTTACTCTTTTATCTAAATTTAAAAATCTTTTTTTATTCACTCCAATATATATGCTTTTTTTATTATCTAATTCCTTTTGTAATGGAGAGATTATGGATGAAAGAAATTTTTATAATAAAAATAAGATTTATATTATGATGCACTAGCACGCCATCTGGTATGAAAATTAGAAACTATTTTTGGCGTGTAAGATTCTTTTTGAAATTAAACAATTTCCTCTGCCTTAATGAGCCAGGCCCTCCCATTAATTTTTTCATTGCAGTAAGGGCAGTAGAAATTGTTTAATTTCAAAAAGAATCTTACGCATCTAAAATAGTTTCAAAAATAAGATTCTCGAATGATTTCTGTAGATGTTGAATATACGTTTATCCCACATAAAGAAGCTCTCACAGAACTTTAGAATTTTATTAATAACTAGCGGATGTACCCAGCTTCGCCCGGGTTTTACCCGAGTAAAGGTTTGTCTAACGAATCTCTTGATAAAGTGAACATTTTTTCCCGGTCCCTTTAAAAATACTCGATAAGTTGAATAAAATCAATATTAATTGGTTCCCTCGGTAATTGGAAGTTAAAGGAATAGTATCTTGCCTTGGAATTGTATCATTATTCTTGTCTCAAATAAATTGCCGTGTCATCCTGAATTTTGTCTTTCCTAATTTTCTACATTACAAAATTATCGTATCATCATGATAATATTTAGAGCAGATTGTTGAATTATCTATATATATAAAATTGAATGTCTGTCTGTCTGTTTGTTTGTACTCTATAGATTCAAAAACCATACATCCAATCGCCGTGAAATTTTGGGATATTATTAGGTGTATCACCGGGAAGGTTTTTGAAAAATAATTTCATGAATATCTTGAATATCCTTAGAGTTATTTGCAGATTTGTAGATTTAACTCGCAAGCAGCGCCCCCATTGTGACGATGATAACAAGTTTTCTTATCACTAAGTTTGTTATCTTAAATATTATTTATCAAAAGTAAGATTATCTCAGGATGACACGGCACACAGGGACCGGGAAAAAATGTTCACTTTATCGAGAGATTCAAATTTACGAGTTTCAAATTATCAAAATGTTCGCTAGACAAACCTTTACTCGGGTAAAACCCCGGGCGAAGCCGAGTACGTTTTATAAGTTTATAGAGAATTGTTTTAACAAATGTTCGTTAGACAAACATTCACTCGGGTAAAACCCGGGCGAAGCCGGGCACATACGCTAGTCTATATTAATAAAATGCAATAACAGATAAATTAGAATATTTATCTTGATTATTTTTAGGCGAAAAGTAATTTCAAAAATTTTATTTGCTAGAAACCTTCCCAGTACTATACTAAATAACTTCCCAAAGTTTCATGGCGTTCCAATGAGTGGTTTGGTCAGGCATAAAGGACAGACAGACACACATACATTCATTTTTATATATAGATAGATCATCCTACAATAGATTTCCCCCGTTTCAAAAAAAAGCCTTGGCGGTATAGCTCAGTGATAGAGCATTTCACTGTTACATCGAGAGGTCCGTGGTTCGAATACGCATACCCTCTACTTTTTTTTTTCTTTCTGCTTTTCACATGTGTAGACATGTGGTGCACTTACAGTAAAAACAGTCGCCTACTTCTACCCACCATCATTATCATGGCCTGTACCATGTGTACTAGGGATAAGCCAAAAAAAAAAAAGAAGCCTTAATAGAACTCCTCGATCTTTTCTTCAGTTACTTCAACTACAAAAAAATATATTTTATAAACAGGTAAAAGGATTGCCGATTTCTTCTGCACTTGCAAATATATTTATAAACCCTATTGACAATAGAATTATGGAATAGAGACAGCTCAATATTATGGAAACGATACATCGATGATGTGTTTTTTTATATCACTGAAATCAATAGCATATCTAACGTTCTTAACTTTTTTTTTCTTTTAAGCAATTTAAAACTTTTTTTAAAAATTCACCAATACAAGATAATAAGACCAAATAAATAAATAGTGTGTGGCGTTTCGGTAACAGCGTTGTTACCGAAAAGCCACACACTATTTGGATTTGGTCTTATTTTACTCTGTGTTTATAATCTATAATCCAAATTGTGCCTTATCAAAATTCACCGATGAAATAGAAGAAAATGGAACTTTATCTTTTTCTTAGATATAAAACTGACGAGGACCAACAACATCATAGAAACAGATATACAGTATAACCTCGTTAATTCGACACATGCAAATTCGACACTACCTTAATTCGACCATATTCTGATGTCCCGACCTCCGGCCTATCAAATAACAAACCGTAATTCGACAGTATCGATAATACGACAGTTCCGATAGTTCGACCATTTAAAAATTCGAATTTCGACAGTTGAATGTTTTTTTTTTACATACAACTTTACCGCTAAACGGTATTACGGCGGCGACGATCGGCATTGGCGGGCGCCGATAGGACGCGCCTGCCCACTTTTGGTTTCTGTTAGTTTAAGTTTCACTTTGCAGTGTTGTTGCGCAATGTCGCGAGTGTTATTGTTTTTTTTTTTACGCGGGAATTTAGGCTTCGTGGGCTAATTAATAATATTATTTTCTTTTTAATTTTCAGCATTGAAATATTTTAGTTATTTTAAAATTTACAATTTTTAAATAAATAAATCTAAATAAAATGTAGCCACAATTATTATGATAACATTTTATTTCCATATTCCATTTCCATGTTATTATAAAAGATTTAAACACAAAATCAATAACACCTGCAGCAAAAGTGGATGCCTTTAATACAATAAAAGCTCTTTGTTATTTAAAACACATTCCAGAGGAAGAAAGACATGCATGTTTTTTTTTTTTTTAGATAGACCATCTGGAATACATTTTGAATATATATTCATGAACATTTTTAAATATTATTTTAAATTTTTTTTTTATTTTCCATATTTATTTCCTTTCAACTGCTATATTCTTCAATTAGAATAAATTTTATTTGTAATTATAAATGTTTCAAAAATATATATTATTGCCATTTTGTCCCTGATACAAAAAGTTAATCATCAAAATAAAAAAATAAATACAAAAAAAGTGCACATACAATGGTTTCAATTAATATCATTAATTTATATTACAAAGCAATTTTTTTTAAATAATATTTTCGTGAGTTAGATATTAGCTAATCATCTAACCTTAATTCAACACTTCCTTTAATTCAACCGAAAGCTCTGATCCCTTGGGGTGTTGAATTAAAGAGGTTTGACTGTATACCGGAAACAAATCATTTGTGTGGCCCCATAAAATATCGGTAATTAAAACATTATCAAAAAGAATCCTCACCCACTGTTCTCAAAATATGGAAATAATTGAAAAAAAAAGAAAAAATTTTATTATCCAAGGAATTGCAATACAATGAATATCCCAAACAATTTATCAAAAAACATATTTATAGAAAAGAAACCCTTCAAAAAACAAAATAAATAGTGTGTGACATTTTGGTAACAATGCTGTTACCGGAACGTCACACACTATTTATTTATTTTTGGTCTTATTGCCTTGTTTTTTTAACTTGGTTGTAAATTCTAAAAGTCCCAAATGTTTGTTTAAACCCAGGTGTTATAACATCAAATCTTGGTCCCAAGTAATGTTATTATAGCAGGGTTCAACTTCAGGTTAATGAGCTCTGTAATTTGACAAGTGTAGTAAAGGAATATGGTGTCATATGTATGTGCTATGTATGTTTGTTATTTATACACTCTATTATTTATACAGTAGGACAACCTCCATGAGAGGACACTTGCACTAGAAGACACCTCTCTACAAAGGATAGTTTTCATTTACAAAATTATCATTTTTACTATTTAGAAACTCTCTGGTAAGAAGACACCTCTCCATAAAGGAAACTTTGGCTCTGCAATTAGGTGTTGTCCTTTTCAGAGAGGTAGTTCTACTGTATTAAATAACTCTCCGGTAAGTGGACACCTCTCCCTAAAGAAAACTTTGACTCGGCAATTATGTGTTGTCCTTTACAGAGAGGTAGTTCTACTGTATGAAATAACTCTCCGGTAAGAGGACACCTCTCCCTAAAGGACACATTGGCTCAGCAATTAGGTATTGTCCTTTACAGAGAGGTAGTTCTACTGTATTAAATAACTCTCCGGTAAGAGGACACCTCTCCCTAAAGGACACATTGGCTCAGCAATTAAGTGTTGTCCTTTACAGGGAGGTAGTTCTACTGTATTAAGTAACTCTCCGGTAAGAGGACACCTCTCCCTAAAGGACACATTGGCTCAGCAATTAAGTGTTGTCCTTTACAGGGAGGTAGTTCTACTGTATTAAATAACTCTCCGGTAAGAGGACACCTCTCCCTAAAGGACACATTGGCTCAGCAATTAAGTGTTGTCCTTTACAGGGAGGTAGTTCTACTGTATTAAATAACTCTCCGGTAAGAGGACACCTCTCCCTAAAGGAAACTTCCTGTCTTGTATTCCCTGGACCACTTTTACAGTAGTTGATGATTGACTTATCCTCAGTCTTAAATGATACTCATGGTGGTAGATCCATAAAATCTCCCAAATATATAAACAAAGAATGACCTACTTGGGACACCTGATGAAAACAAATGGTTTAAAAAAAGATGTTGGTGTTGGAAAAATTGAAGGAAGAACAAGAAGACCTAATAAAGGAAAATAAGACCTAATCCAAATAATTTATTAGTGTGTGACGTTTCGGCAACAACATTGTCACCATCATCAGACAAAAGAATAAATGCTATTCTTTTGTCTGATGATGGTGACAATGTTGTTGCCGAAACGTCACACACTAATAAATTATTTGGATTAGGTCTTATTTTCCTTTATTATAATCTATAATCCAAATTGTGCTTTATCAACAAGAAGACCTGCAATGAACTGGTTAGAAGGGGTCAAGGAAGGTTACAAGATGAGCTGTGAGTGATAATAACTAACAGACAAAATTGGAGAAAATTTGTCACCATATAGTACAAAAGTCAATTTTACGCACACTAACAACATCAACAATGCCCGACTACCTATTGTATGGGGTTCCCTGAATGTCCTATAGCAGAGGTCAGCAAACTGCGGCACGCGAGTCACATGCGGCTCTCTGGATGTGAACCTGCGGCTCTTTATATAGTTCCATACACTAATATTATTTATAATATGATGCACAAGCGCACCATCTGTTATCAAAATTTGAAACTATTTTAAAGGCGTAAGATTCTTTTTGAAATTAAACAATTTCTACTGCCCCCTTACTGCAATAGAAAGCCAGGCCCTCCCATTAATTTTTCCATTACAATAAGGGTAGTAGAAATTGTTTAATTTCAAAAAGAATCTTACGCCTTTAAAATAGTTTCAAATTTTAATAAATATTATTTATGCGAGTATTTTTGGCAAGTTTCAAAAACTTTGAAATTTTGTAATTTTTGACTCTTCAGACACAAAAGTTTGCTGACCTCTGTCCTATGGTGATGATGCACTGATTTTTCCACAGACCGTTCATTCCCCCATAGAGTAGGCATGGGGCTAGCTGAAGCACCAGTTTACACAGTGCCACATTATTCCAGAGCTTGAAGTTACCGTAAAAAAAAGTGTGGATCAAAAGGTAACAAGACCAAATCCAAAATTAAATTTGAGGTTACAGCCACTCTCCCTATCATTTTAATATTTATATACAGTACATTAATTCAACACATATAAGGTAATAAGACCAAATAAATAAATAATGTGTGATGTTTCGATAACAGCGTTGTTACCATCTTCAGACAAAAGTGCTGAATGATTGTCTGAAGATGGTAACAATGCTGTTACTGAAATGTCACACACTATTTATTTATTTGGATTTGGTCTTATTACCTTGTGTTTAGCGAGTGCAAGTAACCAAACGGGGCTCTGGCAGATTTGTAAGTGCAAAGTCGAACTGCTTTTCACATGTGTAGACATGTAGTGCGCTTACAGTGCAAGTAGTCGCTAACTACCACCATGATTATCATGGCCTGTACCACGTGTACTAGGGATAAAGAAAACCTTGGGTTTATAATCCAAATTGTGACTTGTCATAATTCAACACACATAATACAGTAGAACCATTTTTAAATCCCAACATAAAGATATCTGATTTCATTTAGCCCCAATTCTTTAATTCAACAGGAATTTCAACCCTATATCCCTTATTAATAAACTGAAAAAAGATTTAGGAAAGCTTGACTTATAGATGGTGAACTTTTCTAACAATTGGGATATGGTACAATTTGGATTATTCTATATACAGTTACGAGCGTCATCTCTTTCACCGTTTGCTTTTTTTTTTTGGAATGGCGCAATCCTATTGGTTGGCTACGATCACGCCACCACTACGCGAGACACTTTGTTTTTAACTTTGCCCCCCCCCCCCACTCGCTTTTTGGTTTTTGTAACTATTGTGTTGGAGCGGGTCGCTCCTTAAATAAATGCATATATTAGTTAATAACTAAATGGAATCCTTTCCTTTTCCCAGTAAGAGACGCCTACAGAAGCCAACAGTACATAGACAGATAAAGCACATAGGCTATAGTTATT